TGAACTCCCTTCTCTTTTAGTATTCCTGTCCATGGGATCATCCCCAGTTTCACCTTTGGCTCTTGGAGCAGATTCTTCCCCGCTGAACGGAGGGCACGAGGGGGATCATACGGGAAGAGGCGGTCCCTAAGATAAGATCCCTAAGATCCCTAAAATAAGTGGTTCAACAAGTCCCCTCTTGTGGAGACAAACAAATGGATGGGGGGGGCACAGTCTATGACTCCCATCATCCCCACTAAGTGTGGCTGATGCTGATTAGTCACAGAACTGAGAATTTCTCAAGAGCCACGTTCCAGCAGTGAGCAAAAACACAGGCCAAAGGGGTGCGACCAAAAATGCATTTATCAAAATGTTTATATGCCACCTTATATCTTAGGATCCCATCAGGACAGTGTACAAGAACCAATCTAGGACAATTTTAGAAAACTAAAAGCACACTAAACCATTGGTCACTTACAACCAGGTAATAACTTGAAACTAGTTAACACAATTTAAACGAATGGTAACTCTAGCACAGAGGTTCCCAAACTTTGGTCCTCCAGATGTTTTGGACTTCAGCACCCAGAATTCTGTCGGTTGGGGTTCTAGAACTTGAGGTCCAAAACACCTGGAGGACTAAAGTTTGGGAATCACTGCTCTAGCACATGTACAAATTGGCTAAAATCAATTAGGACCTGATGGCTTTAATAAAAAGCCACATTTAGAATGACACCAGTGTTGGAAACATATCCTCCCACACTGTATTGGCCTCACTGGTGGGACACAGAAAAGGGCCTAGATAGAATCAAAGAATATTAAGAGTTGGAAAGGTTCACAAAGGTCATCTAATCCAACCTCCTGGAATAAAGGACTTGTGAAAGATGCCCCTTCAATCTTTGTTCTTAAAAACAGAGCTCCAAAGGAGGAGAATCCATGAGCCTCTTAGGCAGTCTATTTCACTGACAAACAGCTTCATAGTACAAAAAAGAAATTTAAAAAATCTATTGGTTCGTGTTCTAGTTTCTGGAACAGCGGAAAACAAACTCACTCCATGACATTCCTTAAGATATTTAAAGATAGCTATCATCTCACCACTCAGTCTTCCCTTCTCCAACTGAACAAACCCAGCTCCCCAAGATGCTATAGCTGCAAGTTGCTGATGTTGCTTGTGTGCCTTCAAGTAGTTTCTGATGTATGGTGACCCTAGGGCGCCTCTATCAGCGGGTTTTCTAGGGTTGAGAGTATGCGACTCTCCAAGGTCATCCAGTGGATTTCCACTGCCAAGTGGGGAATCAAAACCCTGACCTCTAGCATCATAGTCCAGTGCTCAAACTACGGCATCACACTGGCACTAAGTCTTAGGAAAGGCATACCAACATTTTAGAATGGGAAAGGTGTGTGTGTAGAAAATCTGTTAAATCAGCAGATGATGGTGCCGTTGGGAAGGGTGTATGGCCATTTGGAAAACCTGAAGGCCAGACTGGAATCCCAGAAGGGCCACAAGCTCCTCACCTGTTTCATAGCTGGATACTTCCCTGTATATATGCTCCATTGGGGAAGCAGGAGAAAACTCATTCTCTGTGACCAGCCCTTCTGCTGATCTCTGGAGCATAAACAAAGCAGGGCTGGTTAGGGTAAACGGTGACATGTCTGCTTCCCAATGGACCTGGGTAAAGATAGCTGAGAGGTTATTTTGGCTGTTATGTAACTGGCCAAGCAGCTACTTGATAAGCAAAGGGAAACCTGTGGATGCAACACAGTTTATGGAGAAACAGGGAGGAAAGTGGTTCAAGGAGCCAACCAGAGACCTGGGCACTGAATTGTATGGGCAAGAGATATCATCCTTGCCCAACAGACCTGGGGCAAAGGTGAACTAATACATGCACAGAAGGGGCTATGCCGAAAAAAATAAGCCAAGTTAGTCTCTACACAGAACACCAAACCCTGATGAACACCAGGACTCCCCCTATCTCAGCAGGAAGAGATACGGGGACTCTCTGCTCCAGCATTTCCTTGCTCTTCCAAGTGCAACACTGACACTCTCCAGGATTTTAAAACCCAGGCATTGCATTCAGTGCAACCTTCCAAAGAATGGAAACCACAACCTGCCAGCAGACCCACCCCAAGAGGTCAAAACATACCAATTCTGGCATGGGGGAGAAGTGCAAGATGACTTCAAAATTATCTGCCCATTTGTTGTGGTTGTGTGCATTCAAGTTATGTCCGACTTATGACGACCCTCAGGTAAACCTATCATGAGGTTTGCTTGGCAAGATTTGTTTAGAGAAGGTTTGCCATTGCCTTCCCCTGAGGCTGAGAGGATGTGACTTGCCCAAGGTCACCCAGTGGGTTTCATGGCCAAGTGGGGAAGTGAACTCTGATCTCCAGAATCATAGTTCAACATCACATTGGCTCTCCATTTTCCATTATCCCTTTTGGAAATCCTTTGAGAGCATAACTTCATGAATTAAAAACAAAGCAGAGCTGGAAAATATTAATTTTGGACTACAACTCTCAGAACTCACTCCCACTGGACTTGCTGGGTAGGGTCTTCTGGAAATTGTAGTTGTCAGTGACTGTCCTAGCTTTGTCTTGTGATGGGGAGTGAAAGTAGCCAAAGCTTTGCAACAGAGTCCTTATGCCCTTTCACTCCAGAATTCTGCTGCCACCAAGTGGATATGTTTATTTGTGAGGCTGTTTCCAATAATGCTGCCCCCAAACTTCTTATTCCACAAATGAATCCCTTTTTTGGTACAGCACTAAGGCTTTAGGTGTGGGTTGGGCAACCAATAACTGCAGGCCACAGTAATAGTAACTTTTAGAAAGGTAACTAGTAACTTTTAGAAAGGTCATCCAGTGGTTTCCACAGTTTAGCAGGGATTTGAACCCTGGTCTCCCAGTACCCTAGTCAAACATTCAAACCACTACGCTATCCTGGCTTACATACCAAATTTTGCTTTCACTTTATATTCTCTGCAACCGTTCCCCTTGTATTTTACAAGAAATATTTTGTGTTTTTGCAAGAAATTAAAACTTAGCTGCTGAACTCTAACTCCAAACATACCCATACAAAACAAAAAAACACTATTAAATCCATATCAATAAATAACACAAGAGCACAGTAGTCCAAAGAAGCAGCTTTCCCAAGCTCTGAACAAAGGGATGCCTCAGTCTTAATTCAACTTTTTCCCATTTCATGCTACCTTCAAAGTGTCTTGAAATGAAACCAGTTTCTGCACCCACCTTGCTTCTCATCTCCTTTCCAATTTTGCAAGCAGAAGTCAGGGAAGCTAAACATGTGTGTGTGTGTGTGAGAGAGAGACAAGAAAGTGTGTATGTGTGAGTCTTTAAGTTGTTTCCCACTTAGGGTACCCCTAAGGTAGACCTAGATTTGTTCAGAGGAGGTTTGCCAGTGCCTTCCCTTGAGGCTAAGAGCATGTAACTTGACCAAGTGGGCTTCATGGCCAAGCAGGGATTCGAACCCTGGTCTCAAGTGTCATAGTCCAACAACCAAACCACTACACCGCATTGGCTCAGCTAAACAGGAGAGACCCTCAAAAGGAATCTCCTTGCTTCTCCAAAGAATGGGCCATGCTGCATCACATGGAGAATAGGGCCTTAAACTGATAAACCATTGGTATCTAGCTCCATATAAATCTTCCAAATTACTATTCTTTCTGCTTTTTCTTTTTCTTTTTTTTTTGGTGAGGGCCTGGAGTTCAAAATTTATCTCTGCATCATGGCAGCGCCACTAGGGTTGGCATCACCCAGTGTGGTAACTCATGGTGTCATCTTCCCCCCATGGACCTCTTCCCATACCACATCACACAGAATCCTTAGTCGTATTTTGTGTACTAATGTTACTTGAAAATCATAATTCCCATATATCACTGAATGTAATGGCAATAGTTGTGACATAAACAACTAGCAAAATTAAAGTTATACCTTTAAATTACGATATCGTACGCACAGCCTAAATGTACCTACATGTACATAGTTTCCTGTCGTTAAAGTGAAAATTTGGTAAGATGTGATTTTTTTTAAACTGAAAAGAATGTTACAAAATTCATTTACAGTACATTTTTTAAATTAAAAAAACCCAAACACCCTCCTTTCTTGTCCCACTAAGCCTCATCCCACTCATCCCACCTCTTCCATTGAGCTCTACTTTTGAAAGGGAAGCAAATGCCACAGCCCGTTTCAGCAAAATGGGAGATGCTGGTGTCCCCTGGTGCAACTTGCACCTGTTGCACCAGAGTGGCAAATGATGCACTCCCTTGCCCCACTCACCAAGTGACTTCCTCCGTCCCTTCCTAAAGGTGGCACAATGGCAGCTGCTCTGGAGATCCCCACCAGTCACTTACCCACCCACCTATTGCAGCAAATCCCTGGAGTAACTGCCTGACCCATCTCTTATTCTGAGGGTATCTCTCCCAGAGTAAGAAATTGGCCACCTTTCCCCCTCCCAAAAAAACAATGATCAAGACAGACAGGCTTGTGGACTTTGAGCAGTTCAGGGTGGAGACCTTTCTGCATCCAGCACTGCTCCCCAGAAAGTTCTCCCACTTGATCTGGGCTCTGTCTAAATGGGTGATTGACTGCAAATTCTGCCTGGACTCACTGCATCCTGCTTACATGATAAAGAGAAGAAGTCCTGAATCAGGTCTAGACTGTCTTCATGATGCCTGCACCCAATTTGAGGCTTCTTCCCCTTAAACCCACATTTTAATAACCCAACATTTGCTGTTTGCGGTGGGTTTTCAATGACAATGGCAGCTGCCTTTTCATTTGTGGTCCCTGCGAGTTGCTTGATGCTGCTGCTGCGGGCGTGAATTGCTCTGACAGTGTTGACAGTGTGGCTGGACACCCCATTATGACCTTAGCTGTGGTGCCAGCTGACAAAGGGGGACTGCGTGGGAAGGCAGCTGCCTGTTATCGCTGGGGAAGAGAGTTGAAAACTTGCAAACAATAAGTATATATGAGCTTGTGGATAGGCAATGGGTAGGGGCAGCATCAGAAAAGTTTGAAGGGCGTCTGAGGCTGTTTAGTCAAATCCCTCACCATGCAGGAATCCACAGCAAAAGCATTCGAGAGCAGGCCTCCTTATTTCAGGCCAGAAGGGAGCTGTGTGCCACTCCTGGGATTGGTAAGACAGGAAAGAGAGTATCTGAGAAAAGGGCATGGCTGGAATCCTGAACAAATGGGAGCATTCCAGACTTCAGCATTGCATTTCAGGCATATTTCTCGTGACTCTCCCCTGTGTGAGCAAACTGTCTCATTCCCAGTCAAATGTATGTAAATCAGCAGCTAGCACTACGCCTTGCCAGAGTGATTTCCAGGAAGTAATTCACTCATTGAGATTTTCAGCTTTGTCTCACAAATATTCCTTAACAAAACTGCAACAACCACCCCCACAACTCCTCCCAAAAATCTTTGGTCAAGGAAGACTCATACAACGCATGTTAAGTTAAGTTAAGATAAAACCCTGGAGAATTCTTTAAAGAAAAAGATTACAAAATCAGTGACCTGGCCTAGATCTCTAGTCTGTCTGTCAACTACTGACAATTTCCACAGCTGATCTGTTATCATATTGTCTCAAATGCTACAGTGATGAATCCACTAGCAATTTGAATTATGTCAACAACAGCAGTCCAAATTTCATCCTCAAGGAAAAGTTACCTACATCTCCGATAACTCAGAGGAAGCAAGACAGTAATCAACTGGTTTAAATTTCCCCCCACTCTATTAATATTAACTGACTAGCTTCTCTTCAGGAAAGTAAAGACCTCATATTTCCTGGGAGAGAACTCAATCACTTCTTAACCTCCTTCCCAGAATGAATGGAGAGCAAATAGGGCATATCATTTCAAGATGAAGAAACACATACGTTTAAACTGATGCAGACGTTCTGGAGAATGAGTTGCATGGGGAAAGTCTTGATTTAAAGTGATTCGCTCAAAACCTAGGATAACAATGCAGTCAAATGCCTATCTATCCCAAAGTGAAGTATATTTATTTCAATGGGAAGTACTTTGATGTAAATACTTACAGGGTAGCAGCCCAAGTTTGGCATTCAACAGTAGGCTGAATGTGGCTTATACACACAGACCAGTTTTATCCTACACAACTGTAGCACTTTAGCATCACTTTAATTGCCATGGATGCCTTTAAAGAATCCAGAAATTTTTAGTTTGGTGAGGCTCTAGCACTATCTAACAAAGAATTCTGAATATCTCACAAAACTAAAGATCCCAGGATTTTATAGGATGGAGCCAAAGCAGATAAAGCAGTATCAAAGTGCTATAACTGTGTAGTATAGATTCCTAGAGAAAACACTTCTCTAAGCATATGTAGGTCCTCCAACGTGATTCTATGGTCAACTTCTAGTGGAAGGTGGCCACACAGTTGCACTGGAGGACCTAGAGATTCTTAGAGAGTTATTCTCACAAGTAAAAAAATAGTTTTTATTTTACATTTTTTCATTTTCACAGGGATCCTGCACCCCGAACCCCAGCAAATGTGGACAGTCCACTGTATTGAATGAATCTCTTACCCGCTTTTTTTTTATCTGACGTTTCCCAAAAATGCAGGACAGGTCATCTTCACTTCGGGAAGAGAGGTCTTTACCTACAGAGAGGGCAAAACGACAGGAAAAAGAAATAAGGCGAGGTATAGTCTGTGGTTAAATAGAGATTGAAGGCAAATCTCTCCATGATGAAGGCAAAGATGTTAACACTCTTGTGAGAATCTCATTAATTTGAATAGGCCTCCAGGTAAAAAAGTTTCTGCAGGATTGTGATCCTTATTCAAAATGACCTTAAATAGATTAGAAAGCTGGGCCAAAGCTAACAAAATGAATTTCAACACAGAGAAATGTAAGGTACTGCACTTAGGGCAAAAATAAAAAATAAAAAAATAAAGATAAAAATAAAAAAAAAATGAAATGCATAGATATAAGATGGGGGACACCTGGCTTAACACGATTACATGTGAACGGGATCTAGGAGTCCTAGCAGATCACAACTTGAACATGAGTCAACAGTGTGATGCTGCAGCAAAAAAGGCCAATGCAATTTTAGGCTGCATTAATAGAAGTATAGTATCTAGATCAAGGGAAGTAATAGTGCCACTGTATTCTGCTTTGGTCAGGCCTCACCTGGAATACTGTGTCCAGTTCTGGGCACCAGAATTCAAAATAGATGTTGAAAAACTGGAGCATGTCCAGAGGAGGGCGACTAAAATGGTGAAGGGTCTGGAAACCATACCCTATGAGGAACGACTTAGAGAACTGGGTATGTTTAGCCTGGAGAAAAGATGGTTAAGAGGGGATATGATAACCCTCTTTAAATATTTGAAAGGATGTCATATTTAGGAGGGTGCTAGCTTGTTTTCTGCTGCTCCAGAAAATAGGATCCAGAGCAATGGATGTAAGCTACAGGAAAAGAGATTCCACTTCAACATTAGGAGGAACTTCCTGACAGTGAGAGTTGTTCAACAGTGGAAGACACTCCCTTGGAGGTTGGTGGAGTCTCCTTCTTTAGAGGTCTTTAAACAGAGGTTCAATGGCCATTTGTCGGGGATGCTTTGATTTTGAGTTCCTCCATGGCAGGGGGGGTGGACTGGATGGCCTTTGGGGTCTCTTCCAACTCTGTGATTCTATGAT